TAGTTACTATGTGCCCAGGACTATCCCAAGTACTAGACATATAATAACTGATTTGGTCATTGTAATAAGACTCCAGGTGATTACTGTTATTATATACATTTTTAGAGATAATAGAATTTCATAGAATTTAAATAATGGCTCAGTTACTTGGTTGATAAATGGTGGAGCCATAGTTTAAACCCATCTAGCAGTCTGGCCCGAGGATGTGTGTTCTTATAAGATGAAGTATAGTTATTATTAATTGCTCTTGCTGCTGCACTGCAGTTAGCAAGAGAAAATGTACCATGGACTGTTTTAAGAGCACAAGTCTAAACCTTTTATTTAAGGCAATAACAATTTTACTTATCAGTGAGTTATATTTCAGCAGTGTTTATTCTTATATAATAATTATACTAGCTTTGGTTCAGGACTGTTAGGAATGGAATACAAATGAAAGATCCATCATCTTCTCCATAAATATATATTCTTACTAGGCCTATAGGGCATCTAACAATGCATACTATCAGGGGGGCCCGGTGTGTGTAGTATCACTAATACTAAATCTGGGGAAGGAATTCATCTAACTGAATAGAGAAAGCAAAGAAACTAGTGTGTGTTATATATTTGTGCATTCTATTACATTTTGTTTTTAGAATAACTTTCCGATTTTGTACTATTCTCAGCTTAAAGATAAGGTCCTAGAATGAAATACTACTATATATTTACAGGAGAGACCAGAATCCAAAACACTGATAGAATCCACTGTAGGCAGAGAAATGGAATACAGCAATCTTATTCATTGCTGGCAGAATACATAGCTAACTTTGGATGACAGTAAACATATTCTAAGCACACTGTCCAACACATGCTCCTTATTATTTACTCAAATGAACTGAAATATAACTTGACACTAAAACCTACATATGGCTGTTTATTCACACTTGCCAAAACCTGGAAGCAACTAAAATGTTCTTTAGCAAGTGAATGGATGGATAAACAGTTGTATATGCAGACAATGGGATATTAGTCAGCCCTAGACAGACATCAGCTATCAAGTCATGCAAAGATAGAGAAGAAACTTAATTGCTTATTACTGGGTGAAAGGTAAGTTAGCATGAAAAGCTACATAATGTATGATTTCAACCAGACAATCTAGGTAAAAGAGATTGGTGTACACAGCTGGTGAGGGAGGAATAAACTAGCAGAGCACAGAGGACTTGAGGGGCAGTCAGGTTATTCTGCATCGTATTATAATGACAGACATCAGCCATTATACATCTGCCCACATTCACACAATATGCAACACCGAGACTGAACCTCAGTGAATATAGTACCCTAGATGATAATGATGTCTTAATGTTTGAACATCAGTGGTACTAAAGTCCTCTTCAGGTAGAGGATGCTGATAATATGGTTGCTGGGGTGGGATGTATAGAAACTCTCTACCTTCTGCTCAATTGCGCTATCAACTGAAAACTTCTCTTAAAAAAAAAATGAAGGGTATCTTTCCAAATCCAACCTCCAAAAGAGGGAGGGATGGAGGGAAGGGAGGAGAAGAGGAGAGTAGGGGAGGGAAGGGATAGATGGGAGGGAGAGGAGGGAGAAAGGAGGGGAGGTAAACCTACAATACCTGACTCTACCTATCACCAAATATCTCAGTTTCCCTAGGTTGTCAAGATAACCTCAATTTTCCTTCAGTATATAATTGAGCTAGTGTATTTTCATTTAGAATTTTCTGAATTCTGATTTTGCTTATACTGCAGGATTGAAGTGTCTGATTAGTTTAGTAGCAACGAAGTGGGAAGGCAAAATTACCATCTCAAAAATAAGAAATAAGTAAAGCCTCCTATAGCTATGTTTCCATTATTGGAGCAATTGTTCTTGCTTAGCAAAATGCTCTTAGATGAGGTTTTTCTTTGGAGAGGAAGGTTAATCCAAATGAGCAACGACCTTCTGTACATGAGAACATCTATCTGTCCTGAAAACAGAGTCGGGTTTGAACTGTGAATCTAAGAAGAAAACGATCACGGAGAAATTCCCTTAAAAAGACAGTCACTCTGGGAACATGGTGGCAGGTCATAGTTAAGAGAGAACTCGATGCCAGAGAAGATAAATTGAGAAGGGGAGAGCAGGAAGGGTGAAGGAAGAGAGTGAGCTGTAATGGACCTGCTTGTGACAGGGAAGACAAAAACTCAGGAACATTTACTTAATGAGCAGTTTTGAGTGGATGCTTATCTTGGTAAATCACCATCATCAGAGAAAGATGACTGCACTAACTAACACATGTGTGAAGGTGGGATGGGGATAAAGACGGGATCAGGAAAAGAGGAGCAGGCAGTACAGCATCAGAAGCAGGCAGGAGCCATCAGGAGAGTTGCCAGAAGAGGTAGCTTACAGAGAGGATGAGCCTGTAAGAGAAGGTAACAGAACACAAGTAGAATATATGGCTGGAGGGGTCTATACTGGGTCTCTAACCTATGGCAGCTTCTGCAAGAGGCTTATCGGGTTAATGAAGCAATGCCAACTCTCATATCCCACTGGATTTTCAAATAGAACCTGTCATTGTTCACTTATTTTGTGACTTTCTCATCATGCAGTTTAGTAGTTCTCAAATGACACTGATTATGCATGTGGAGATACACCTTAAGAATCCTGGTGACAATTTTTTTCAAATTTATTTTTAGATCAAATCTTAATCTTTACTTATTCACACAGAGATTATAAACACAAAAATGCAGGGTGTAGGGAAGGAGATGACACCAGAGCGTGAGTGTTCAGGGGGGTACAGATATCTTTCAGGACAGAGTTTTAGCTGGGTGAAGGTTCAGGGGACAGGTCACTATGACTCTGCCTATGATTCACTTGTCCTTATCTAAGTTGGTATTATCTGCCAAGGCTACCTATTTACAAGGTCTATGACTACTCAGACTGGTAAATTTCCACAAAAGCTGCCTGTTTACAATAGCTTATAGCCATCTGTTTCAATGTTTTTCCACAGAGACCCAAGACTTTGTGTTAGCATACATGTATGACAGCCCTATTGCTGATTTTAGGCCTATGGCTGATTTTAGGCCTTCAGTGTATAAGCAGGGCTTCCCCTGACATCTCCTCCTTTCTCTAAGTATAGAAGGGCTGTGGCGATTCTAATCTTGTGAAGGCGGGGATAGAGGCCTGACCTCCAGTAATTGAAGAGGACTTTGTAATGGCTCCGGTTCCCCTGTCATTGTCCAGTGAGGCATGAGGGCCATACCCATCCTGATGTCTTTTTCCTGGAGAGGAGATACTTTAGACATGAACCCCTATGCAGTCAGGCTTGTCCCTCAGGGAACCCAGAGAGATATTTTTAACTTTTATTTATATTCCCTTGCAGTGCTTAGCCTCGCAGCCTAAGCAAGAATTCAGATCTCCAGTCAGAGGGGGTTTTGGGTGGCCCCTCACTGCTTGGTCTAGGGGCGGAAGTCCCCTCTTTTAGGTTGGGTGGAGATGGATTTTGAGAACACCCTGGATAGAGTAACAACCTCATCTTGAGTCTCGTGGTCCTCCATAGCTAACTTATGATAATGTATCTGAACAGGTTTTACTACCAAATTATCTATCTGTTGTTTCACAAAGTTACTCAGCCTATTTAAGGCTCAGAGTTCAAAAGAAATAAATAAAAATAACCCAACTAATGGTCCCACGATGGGAGGAAGTAGGGTTGACAACCATGGAGAGGTTGAAAAACAATTCTTATACCAGCTCTCATCTTTCTCTTTCTCTCTCTATCTTTTCTCAGGGCCTTATCTGACCTTTTTCATGCTTTCTTTAATCATCCCTGTCTTGTCTATGTAAAAGCAACATTCTTCTTTAAGAGCTGTACACAGACAAGAGCTGTACACAGTATTTTCTATTGTAAAAGAGTAAATCAAGTCCAATAAAGTCTTTTGCAATTTTTAAATGTCCTAACTGAGAGTATTCTACTCAAACTAGTGGGTAGACCTAAGAGATTCTACTTCCTAGTGTTCGCCAGACACTCTCCCTTAGAGTGAGAGTTACCTACCACCAAATATCAAAGACAGAAGAAAATTCATTAAGAAAAATGACACTGAGTTTTGTTTTGTGTATCTGCAACACTTGTAATAGGAAACAGCACATAATAGGTGCTGCAGAAGTAAAATCTAAATGTTAGATATTAAATACTTTTTTTTGCCTGAAATAAGAACCAACTTCTTGTCACACATATCCTTCTAGCTGTATGTCTGTCTTCTAGTTTGCACCATAGAAATAGGAAACATAGAAAGATTCCTCTCCTATGCATCCTTACCAGTAAAGCAGCCTCCAGATGGTTTTTGCCACTGAATCTATACACCTGTGAGCATGGGATCGAAGCAAACAGAAATGTTGCAGTAAATATACCAACCATTTGATCAGGGTCTTTGACCACCATAACTTTGAAATGATTACAGTATGCCTCCAGTCTGAATGATGAGCTCCACTGAGTCTGCAAACCCACAGAGTCCTAAACTCCTATAACCACAAACATCCAGACACCAGGCAATGTTCCACCTTTTTCCACTGTGGAAGAATGTGACCAGTCTTGAAGGAAAGCCATCTCTCTTTTACACTTACAGATTGTTTTAAATGGCACCAGCAGCAATCTAGCACAGTTCTGAAAGTTCCATCTTTCTGACTCCCAGGAAACCATAATTCACATTTCTGAACTTCAAAAAAATCAAAAGCCCCAAAGTAATGATCTTGAGGGGAGATTGCAAATTCAATCATAGAACACTTATTTTCAAATGTTCACCTATTCATTCCTCCATTTGCAGTGTTAATATGACAAGGAAGCAGAGGTGGGAATCTTCATTTTTCATATGCATATTTACTCAGGAAAGCTACATGGTAGTTAAGTGAAAGTTCCCTTATGCTAGTTATTAACATATTCAACCACAGCAATTGTGATACCATTTCAGAACATCACAAGGCCACATAATAACCAACTGGCCCATACCGAGACTTCATCCAATGTCCATTTATGTTACCTGGTTTTCTTGTTGGTCCCACAGACACAACTGCAGGACCTGAGACAATTCCTGCCGCTGTTGCTGCAAGTACTTGTCCAGCTGCCTTCTCCTGTCTTGCAGAAGTTCAAGGAGGCTGTCGATCTTCAGACAGCTGCTCTGAGCTCCCTGGATCAGCTCAGAATTCACAGCAGAGCCTTCACATTTGAATTTTTCTATGAAGTCAGTCAGTTGTTGACTTTTGTTTAAAAGGACTAGAGATCTTTCTAAGAGTTCTAGAAGAAAATTAGAAAGAAAAGAATAATATAGTAGTGGACATCTATGCAGTTGTTTTTGTGTTCTTCATCATATGTATATAACATACCAATGAAAAGCTATATTGAAAAGAATTTAGATGTATAAACATTTTAAATGCTTTGCAAATTCTGTTTTTTTAATCCCATGTGATCAAACACGTGTCTGTCAAATGGATTGATCACCAGTTAACAACCTCTATAGTGATTGTATTGTATACTATAGAACGGGGCTTTAAATCCTAAGAACTGAAGAAACATCTGGGGAGAGAGCATTGATGGGTGGGTAGGATGGAGAGCAGTGCTTTGAAGACCTACACATCAGCATCAATTGGAGAAACAACCTAGAGTATGTCCACTTTTTACAAGCCAGAAGCAGGAATTCTCTGACACATGGCTTCCCTTAGCTTACCATTGATGACTTTTCTATTTTACACTACCATCCCACTTTCTGCATATCTGCTTCTCTTCATCCCTTGATGCAAAGTGTCACCTGCAACCCGGACTCTTTTGACTGCATCCTTTCTCTAACCCACTCACCCATTCTTTACACTTACTCACAGAGATCTTTTTAAGCATGCTTTGTTCTAAATGGTATTTCTCCCAATCCTTCCTGAAGGGAGGAGAAAGGCTCCTGAGACTCAGGAAACTAAAATACTTATGAGGTACAGGAACTTCACTAAACTTACAAGACCCAAGAGCTCTAACGTTATAAGACCCACAACATTCTCTAGGGGGAGGCTTATGTGAGCAGTAAATATTTATTAGGCAAGAGTCTTTTCAATAAATCTGTCTGCAAATACAGCAGAAAGTTCCAGGAATGCAGCTTTTAAAAGTCATCACCCCGGTGAGGTGGCTTCCCTAAAGATGCTTCTCGTTCTGCTCCCGTAAGTTAACCCAATAGACGTATCATTTCACCAAGCTAAATGTATGAATGTTTTCTTTAGTCTATCATTAGTGTCCTGTCTAAGATAAACAGGCATTTGTTTTAGGAAATGTATATAGTCTCTCTCTCTCTCCCTCTCCTTCTCCATCTTCTTTATTGCCTTAAAATGGAGAGCTAGAACCCTTAAAGTAGATTATCCCATCTGGCACAACCCAATTTCTAGCTTCCTTTTCCAAAAGGCTCCATCTTGCCTCTGTAAATTCTTCACACATTTATACTTCCCCTGCCTCTATATTCTCCCCTATTTCCTCTGACAAGAATGCCATTTACCTCAACTCCTTTCCTCTCCACCTCTATTCTATGCATATTCAGGCCTGTCAGTTGTCAGTTCCTCAAAGGATAAACAGAACTCAATACTCCTCTTAACCATTTCCATAGAACAACACTGCTTTCCTTTATAGCTCTTGTCTTGGAGGTAAGAGTACGTATGGCTGTTCAGCTAATAACTGCCCTTGCCACTGACCCTAGTGCCATATGATGACAGGACCCTGGGTTCCTCACCAAGAACTGTTTCAGAAACATTCTTCTATGTCACTGAATTCAAAATAGAAGATGGGAAAGCAATCAGGAAACTGTTTTCTGGAAAAAGACTAACAAGACTATGTTAGCTCCAAAGGAAAGATGGATGAGGCTCTGTTAGTCTTCAGCTATCTAAAGCGTTGTACTCTGATGGAACATTCTGAAACATTCCAAAAGGCAGAACCCTCAACCCAGTCATCCTGCTCTGACCTAAGCAATGGGATACAGTGGTCACACAGGTGAAGCTAAGCGAAGTAAAGGGACAGTTGGAGGTAAGTTTCATCATAGCTCCTGGCTATATTTTGTCATCAGGACATACACTTTTATACAACTCAATTGCTCAACAACTCAGAAATTTATTAGCACTGCTAACTCACACTTTATTCCCGTAAATTTAATGATGATAATAGATACAAAGCCCTTGCCTGGCAATCAGAAATTTTATGCATTAATGTGCACTTCAAATTATATCATCTTAATCACGTCCCACTGAATAGGCTGATTAGTCTAAATCTCATCTCATAAAAACAAAGCTCTTGAAGCCACCACTGGGCATTATTCATTAGGCTCCAGTTCTTTTGATCACTGCCCCTACAATCTTTCAAGTATCACACACAAAGTTTAAAGAATATCCAAAAATTCTGCCACCAAAGACAAGGTATGTTTCCTGTGTTCAGCTAGCATTTCATCCATCTTGTTAACCCAAGATGAGGCTCAGTAGACTCTCAAAGACTACACTGAAAAGGAAGACATGGTTTCATTGTCAGCTGGATACCAGGACAACATAGCCTCAGGCTTCCAAATAAAAGCTGGGTGCATCTGTGTCAGCTGGCTCCTTTGTGCCACAGATCCTGTTAAATCTGAAGATGCCAACAAATGCAGAAAATGGAGTATTAAACAGTCTTCTCTTCCTCACCAAATGTTTACTGGAAAGTCCCCACTTCCATGGGGTAAAGTTACTTTGCTTCCATGAGTAAAGTTGTGTGATAATCACATTGGCTGGGTGAGGTTGAATTAAGGCCATAGAACCCATCTTGGTCACTGGATCTGAGTCTCTTCCAGCCTCCTACCAGGAATGTTAAGTGATTCAGCTCAGCCTCAGGGGACCCAGTGAGATAACTGCTGCTGTGTCAAAGCAGCCAGCTGATGCTTTAGTGCTGAGTCTACTGGTACTGTTTATATCTCACAGTGACAGGTGTGACAGAGAAATCACCAGAAAAACACATCTACGCATTTGGTAGGCTGCCATAAAAATTTACACTGGCGAGACAGTTATTAATCACTTTATTTTGAGAAATTTGTAGCAAGGAATTAATAATGAGGAACTTTTATTCTCTAGAGAGTTGGAGAGTAATATACAGTGTATGTGTGTGCATGTGTGCATATTTGTGTGTGTGTTTAAAAAATCACTTTATTGCTTTGTTCCTTTTCCATTATGGAAAACTTTTGGGGGATACAAACTTTTGGGGGATCAAATCAAGTTAAAAGTGACAAATATTGACTACATGGAGTCTTTGTAAAAGTCAAAATAAAATGAAACAAACACTAACAATATAAAAAATCATGATAAATCTATGAAGGCATTTTACTCAGGCCCAGTAACAGATTATAAAATACATTTCAAAAAAAGAAAAGGAACATTCTCCCAACCACCTATCTACATTATTTTTATAGATGACACCTCCTATACATCAGTCCTGGCCATTCCCAGATTCTTGTGGTGAAGACTTGGCATATGAACCCATGCTTTGAAACTCAATCGTTACTACTAGGTACTCTGAGAGAGTTGAAAATACTCTGCCTCATGTTTTACTGGACTTTCATCTACATTCTTTTTCACTGAAATAACGAAAAATTTCCTTATGGTTGAGATTTAAAGGCTAGTCTTCATTTATCTACCCTTGGATGGAACATTTCCTGAATTCGACCAGTGAGTTTAGCTTCAAGATCCATGGTACTGTGCACCTTGAGAGATGCTGGGGATGGAGGGGCATACCAGCCTTTGTCCTCATGGATGAAGCTCTAGAACACAAAGAGACCAACTTTCCACAGGCCCTTTCTACCTTCCCTGGGATCACCTACAAGTATTGCTTTTGTTTCAGAAGATGGCCAAAAGCAAATTTGTTTATCCTTTCTTGAAACAAACCAAGTAAAACAGTAGAAAAACTCCAAATACTGCCTTTCATGAGAATCCTATATTAACATTTTTTGAAATCTGCAAAAGCTAAGATGAAGGAGAAAACCCTATGCCTTGCCTTTGGCATGTCGGTCATGAAGCAGAAGAAGTGATTGTAAGGCTTCAGCATTCTCAAACTCATGAGGGTTCTGCAGAAAATCTTCAGCTTCATCTATTTTTATGGCAAACTATGAAAAAACACAGGGAAAGACATGAATATGATTTAAAAAATCAACAGAATACATTATTATACTTGTGGATTTTTCTCAAATATTAATGATCTAGCTGACTCAATGAGAGAGAGAGAGAGAGAGAGAGAGAGAGAGAGAGAGAGAGAGAGAG